CTATACCAGCAGTAAAAGGAGGCCACAAGCACGCTCTAGTCATAGCAAGACTGGAAAAACATAGGAACGTGAGCCAGTTTTGGAGCCTCAGGCTTAGGTGTGTGGCTCTGAGAACACTCTGAGAAATCATTGAGTTCCACTTGAATTAAATTAGACAACATCAGCACTTACAGAGGCAGGCTGAAACAGTACAACATATCTCTCACTTTCCTTTTCACTTCCTTAAAACATTCACACGGACAGATGCATTATTGCTTTTTCACTATGCTGTCTCATCTACCTTCGACTCAACATGCTCTCTTGGCAGGGTTTAATACTTTGGCCAGGGTTAAAGTGGACTTAGGTGTACAATACTGCTGTGTTAGCTTCAAGCCTGAAGTCTGAGAAACCCACTCAGGTGTAAAGAATAGGAAAATGGCCTGTCTCCATTGATTAGACCTTCTAGAGGAAATGAGTGCTCACATTCAACAGCACATCCACAGGGACAGTGAAACATTCCAGGTCTGACGAGGCCGATTGATATCATTAGACTCTGCAACTGCAGATATTTATTTGTTTTGCAAGTAAACAATTAATGAAGCATTTATTTTTGTAAAGGAATGTTCGTTCTATAATGAAATAACCAATGAGAAACAGAAAAATCTCGAGCAGACGTTAGATAACAAATTGGCAGCACAGTGAGGTGCATTACTTTAGTTTAACAGGCACAGGGAGTGAATCAGTGGTCAATAAATACTATACTGACCACAAGTCCCATGCATCAATGCTGTTCTCTATCGTTTTCTGATTGAATTATCTGATTTTCTCTTTATTGCCACGTTACATAGAGTCTGATGCTAGTGTTTAAGGGATCTGTCAATAAACCTTAATCAGAGGAGATGCCATATTTAATTTGACAAACAAAAAAAATGAGGCTTTGAAGGCATTAAATCACATCTAATTTTCAGAACCCAAATGTTTTTGTCCACTAGAATGATGGAAATACGTATTTTCAAAGATTTCTAAGGTGAAAGATAAATACCAAACACTACAACCACATCCTCACAGCCTCGTTTTTATTTTGTATCAAATGGACCATTTTCACATAGGTTTCTCAGAAGCAGAAGTCATCATAGTTGGGTGAAATTGCTACATTAGCAAGAGAAAAAATCCAGTGTTTCTATGAGGTTCCAATGATGGTCAAGAGTAAAAGAGTCAAAATTGCCATCACTCTCTCAGATTTTGTATTAGAAACACTTACACAGCCGCGTTAACTCATTTTATAATGTGATTTAATGCCAAGGTACGAAAACATAAATGTACAATAAAATTATATATATATATATATAAAACATTGCTAGATTTACATCACAGTCTGCAAAAAGGGTCCATTGTATCATGAATAAGGTGCATTCTAAACTCAAAGTAAATAAAATATATACATGATTCGTATAAATTGAAGGAAAATTCCCTTCAAAGTTTTTACTAGAAAAGCTTTGTTGCTCTGTGAGCAGCATGCCTTGTGAAGTGGATGTTCAGTGCGAGAACAAAACTGTCATTGTACTCCTGCACAGTGTGTCTTGTTGCATTGTGCTTGGTGTGTGTGTCTATGTGTGTTATTGTTCATCCTCTTGCGCTGTGACTCTCCTCTCTGCTGCCAGGCCAAAGCAGAAGTTCTCACATGGCCAAAGCCCTTAGTCACATGGCCTGGGCATGTGCCACATAGCGCTAGCAGTCACTAAAGCTTCTCCCCTTTAACATAGACAAAAGGACAGTTTAAAAAAAACAGGAGAGAGACGGAGACCTGAGGCCAAGAGCTTGAAGATTTTAATTGAAACCGAGAACCTGAAAAAGGACTGCAGGGGAATCGATGTGAGAAACTGAGGAAGGTCAAAGGAGGAGAGAGAGAGAGAGAGAGAGAGGGAGAGAGAGAGAGGCAGAGCTGCTGAATTGCATGGTCATCTTCCCAGCTGTCCCTGAACATACATTGACATCGGCTTAGCTGTGAGCCACACATCAGGAAAGACAGAGAGGGAGGGAGAGGGTGTGTGTGTATACGTGTGTGTGTATTCGTGTGTGTTTTGTTAGTGTAACTGTGCAGGAACAAGAGGGAGGGGTCCTTTCCCAGCTGTTGCAGTGTTTGCACATGGTTTATGACACTGCGGTAAGTGTAGCTCAATCCCTCTCCTAACACTGCTCACCGTTCACCCTTCATGGGCCTAAAATGTTTCAACGATCTGCTGGGGTCAAATGGGAACTTTAGAAATTGGGTTGAAGAGCTTCTGAATGCAGTCAGGCTTCTGATTTACTATAAAGTCTTACTTTCTTCTACAAAGCACAGCTCATTTTTGCTGTTCAAAGAGTTGCATTTTAAGGAATTTAATAAACATTCTTGATTGGTGAAATCATGCCTTTCACATCTTTAACCTTGAGGGCTACTGCATAATACAGCGTGCTATTCTCTGCAGCCTACATTTCAAACAGCAGTGTCAGTCATTCTGTTGCCATGGAGAGATATTAATTGCTTTATTTCAAAAACATTCATGCTGGCAAGCACTGAGATACGCAACATTACAGTAGCAGCTGAAGGAAGTGTAAATTAGTCATTTTTGTGGCACCTTAAGCTTGCAAATGTTTTGAATTCTCGTCAAAGCTAAAATTGAGGTCACATCGTTTTCTTCAATCCTTGAACAGCATGTGAAATAATGCAAAACTGATCGCATCACCTGGGGCGATGTCTAGCATGCAACTACAGTGCAGATGTGTCTGACGGAACAACATTGTGAAGATAGCTGTCTTTTAATCCTCTGAGCAGCACTTGTCCTTCTGCAAGATGACCTTGCGCGCGGTATCTTGTGACAGACCCACAGACAGACTGATGAAAGGAAAGACCACAAATGGTTATTCAGGTCCCAGCTCTGCCTGGTTTCTGGGAAACAGAAAGTGAGTGATGTCAATGATGGATGCATTTTAAACACAGCTGATTCATGTGTGTCTGTTTATGGCTGGCTTGATTTGCATCTTTAAATACATGGCATGAAAGCCTTGCATGCAAGAGCAATTATTATAATCTCAGACTAACTGCTATTGCTTAATTTGTGGAAAACTGTATGCTATTTGAAATGTTTTGTATATTAACATATATGCAGGTGGTTAAATTTGGACAAAGCATGAAAGCTTGATTTTATCTATTCCCATTTCAGTAGACAGACCAAATATGTCAGTTCTCCTTCAGATGAATCATTAGTCAGTGTACAACAAACACTAAATGAGACATATACACAAAAATGAATTGCTTAAAAACAGATTCATCCAGTGGATGTCATACATCATGTTTTTAATCCAATGCTGCAGAGAAATGGATTGATTTTGATCTGGTCTAGGCATGAATAGTCAAGCGCTAAAACTAGATTACAGGCTGAAAATAGTAGCAGCTTATTTTAATGGGATTGCAGGCTGCAGTGAGCACTAGAACTGGCCTACTGAAGGCATCCCTGAGACTCCAAACCCATCAATAAAAAGATATAGATTGTGTCTGGCCCTGTGTAAAAGCAGCGTGCAGACTGAATGAATGTGAAGAAAAACCAGGCAGGAAACTGTGGACCATCATAAGATATTTGTCTTTAAAATGTAGATTTTTCATAGCCTACTCTCAGTGGAAGCTGTGAAGCATGCATTTTCCAGACCAAGAAAAGGCTAAAGTTCATATAAACATCTCATATTTCATTATTTGTTTAATACACATTTAATAATTACAAAGAAGCTGCTTTTTCAATTGTAGAATACACCTGTAGGTTCATTACTGGCACTCGCCATATTATTTCAAAATATTATTTATTGTTATGTATTTTATTGTTTAGAGGAATTTGATCTAAAACGCAGTGTAGACAGCAAATATTGAAACATTTCGAAACCGGGTATATTTACATTCACCCTTCTCTGTGTGACAGAAAGTAACTGGTTGAGAAAGAGGGGTGGTTGCGATTCTCTTGTCCAATCAAATGCCGCGTAGACTCGAACCTGGGCGGAGATTGTACTATACAAGGGCGGGGTTAAAGACGGAAGTTCAGCCGGATTGGTCGGTCGATTGCAACACTCACAAACCATGGTCATCTGCAGTCTGTCCTTGCAACTTGGAAACGTAAGAAAACCTGTGTCATTCTCAGTGTATATTCTGAAAATCTTTAGCAAAAACATCCAAAACGAGTCGCGCGTAAATTGTTGTCCGACAATGATGCGTGATCGTTTTCAATCGCTGTCTTTATTATAACGCCGACTGCGGTGCACGGTGTCATTAAGCAACCAGAACACGAACGCTGTCGCTTGCAGCGTGAGATCTGAAATAATCTAGCGTTGCATATGAAGCAAATGTATCAGAAATTCACCGAGTAGCGTTCGGCATCACAACCGTAGGATTTAATCGACGCGTCAATGTAAATTTGAGGATTTTTATGGTAAAATTCGGACCGAAGGGCACACTACCCCTATCGCACATAGACTGAAACGCCGTCAACATTTTCCTGTATTTAAATGGTAGAGAGAGAGGAGCTCATTGCTGAAATAAGGAAGAACGCCGGTAGGTCAATTGCATTTTCTTGAAACATTTGCGATGACAATGCTTTGAAAATACTTGCGTGAAAATCCTCCATCATCGGCCGTGCTGAATTATTAGATAAGGTGGCCTGTGTTATGATGACTTGTCGTGATTGTTAAAAGACGACACCGTTTTGCTTAGAAGGAACATTGTCGATGAAATCAACGGTGCACTGCCTACGGCGTTTCTCGTTGCACCATATTTTCCTTTCGATCTCATTACGATTGAGAGCAAAGTGCATAAATCCATGATAGAACCGTATTACGTGTGTGACCATGCATGATGGGTGTAAGTGTAAAAGTGAATAGAGAATGCCTATAAGAATGTATTATGGTATAATGGTTGGATGATTTGATTCATTAGCTGTTTAGTATTCTGAATATTTTCCATTTCTCTCTCTTTCTCACACACACACACACACACACACACAACTGCTATGCCCCCCAACCCTTCCACCTTGATCGAAGAGGTTGGCTTTTTCAATCAGGCTGCTACTACTAACAATGCTCCTCCTCCGCTGCTATTTCAAAGTTTCTCTCATCACACCAGTACAGGATTCGGGGGGAACTTCTCCCACCAGATAGGGCCTCTATCTCAGCACCATCCATCTCCTCATCCTCACTTCCAGCACCCTCATAATCAGCACCGCAGGTCCTCGGCCAGCCCCCATCAACCTCCCTTCTCCCACCGCAGTGCTGCTTTCAGCCAGTTGCCCCATTTGGGGAACAACCTAAGCAAGTCTCCTTCCCCCTGGGGGAGCTATCAGAGCCCCTCGTCCACCCCATCTTCTACTTCATGGAGCCCAGGTGGAGGGTATGGAGGCTGGGGAAGCTCTCAGGGACGGGAGTATCGCCGAGGGCTGAACGGAGGGGTCAATCCCCTCAACTCGATCTCTCCTTTAAAGAAATCTTTCCCAAATAGCCAAACCCCAACACAGAAGTATCCCCGCAACAACTCTGGCTTCAACACTAAACCCTGGATGGAGGATACCATAAACCGCAACGATAGCATCTTTCCTTTTCAGGTAACTAAAACTCCTAATTATTAGCTATTAATGATTTTAATAGAGGAGCATTTTGTTTAGAGGTAATAAGGTTGCAAAGGTGTGTGTTTATTGGTGATGAGATAAACAAATCTGTTTTTTTTTTTTCCCTCCATTTGCTCCCTTTGGCCTAACCTAATCTGATAGTGACAAAGTGCTGATGTGGCATGCTTGTTAGATAAATGTGATAGATCAAAGCTCAGATGAGTAATGCGGTGCTGTCGCTCCACTTCTGCAAGCTGTGAATGTCACCGATATAAAAAGACATGGATGAGTGAGTCAAAATCAGGGGATGGCACAGGCAACAGGAGGAGAACTGGAAAGTCTGATACTCTTATATAACCACCAATTATCTTATTCCAGATATTAGCATTCACTGATACTAGGGACTTTTCCAAATTTAGTCAAAGAGGCTATTCTTATTGCTTCTGAATCTATCATGGATTCGATAACAGTGGAAGACCAACAGATGATTTGATGAACAAAACCTTCCGATTTGAATTTGAGTACCTTTAGAACATAATTGCTTATCTAGCAATTATTTGTAGTACTGTATCTAATTATTTTGGTAACTGTCTGATTTGCATATTACCAGCGAGTCTGAACTGCATTATGCGCTTTAGTACACGGTGAGATTATGTTCTTGTTTGAACCGCAGTGGTAACTCACTGAAAACACTCACTGTTTCACATGCTCGGTGTGTCCTCCCTGTTCGGTTTGTAGCCTAATACCAAGAACAAACCTTGTATTGTGTTTGCAAGGCTTTTCCTCTTGGTAAGCAGAGGCCTGTTGTGCTGCAACACCCAAGGGTAATGGATAAAGGCTACGAAGGCACTCTTAATCAGGTGACTACAGACTCCATGTAAATTTTTGAATTGCAAAGCATGGGTCCCTTTGCAAGAAAACGGACACAGAGAATAACCTCTTTTCTTTAGGTCTGTAGCCTTAGGGAGCCTTGTTGTATTCATTTATTGGTGTAGATATCAAGTGCCCAACTGTGTGAGCCTCTGTATGTTAATGTGTGCCCTAGTTGCAAGTTTGGATGGGTGGGGTGACTGATATCATCTGCATTTTTACTGTTGCTGATATTCAAATTCAAAACAAAATTATGTGCATGCGAACAGTTTCCAAAACTGTTGATATCACTTAAAGAGAACTTTGTCTGCATTGCTTGATAAAACACATTTAAGACAGAATGACGGGGTCTAATCACATCTCCCTTGTTGTTTTTGCAGGAGCGCAGTCGGTCCTTTGATGGTTTCAGCATGCACTCTCTAGAGAACTCTCTGATCGACATCATGAGAGCCGAGCAGGATTCCTTGAAAGGTACATTATTCACTGCCATCATTTGCAAATCCTGCCTCACATCAGTATTAAGTAATATATTAAGTATCTTTTACAAGTAAAAATCACCAAATTTTAGTATTAAACATCATTTAGAAATTGTAGACAAGGCATTTTCAATTGTTCAATAAATTTTCTCTGCTAATTTATACTTTGAGTTTATGACTCCGTTTTGAAAGCAAATATTTAATATAGCATATTTAATTGTGTGGCTATGAATTTTAAATGTATTATATTAAGAAAAAATGTATGGCTTTTTTTAACAAAATAACCTGAAATACCAAAATAATAGTATTGGTTTACTTTGCTTTGATGCTGCTTATGTTTGCTGCACTACAAATAATGCATGCATTGTCTTGTTGTTGTTGTTGTTTTATGCCCCTTTGATATTTCAGTTTAAAATCTCTGTTGAATTGGTTATTAAAATCTGGATTCCCTGACCAGTATGTTGTAATCTCAACATCATACATTAGTTTCAGTGTATCATTTGCCATCTTTGTTGCCTCAGTGCCTATGTTGCATCAGATCTGCAATATGCAATTTTTGTATTGTATTTGCTGCATTATAATGCTTGATTTTGTCTTATCAAAAAAAGTTGAAATTTGCGACTCCCCGTCGCTTAGGGACGCCAAAACGTTCCTAAGGGGTGGGGCCAATTTTACTAAAATGGCTATAACTCTTGAACGGAGTGAGATATCTTCACCATACTCGGTACACATGTGTAAGAGCTCAATCTTTGGTAAAATTTAAAAAATTGCGCAGCTCTGCCACTTGGTGGCGCTATAAGATGGAAAAAAACATAAAAATGGCTATAACTTCGCAACCGTTGGTCCAATTGACTTAAATTGGTATGCAGTGTCTTTGTCCAAAGTGGCACAAGTGTCTGTGGACATTCACGTATCACAAAACATGGCCGCCATTGGCCAAACAAGTTTAAGTGCCTATTAGACAAGGTTAATGGAGGTTGATCGAAACGAAACTCAGTGGGCATGTTTGTCTCATGGCCCTAAAGGTCTAAGAATTTTGGAAGAAATCGGCCACTGGGGGGTGAAATTGCGTTTTTCAAGTGCATAAATGATTGTATATTGCACGATTTTTCACACATACATTCAATGTTCATATCATTTGATAGATCTCCTCATCCTGAGCAACTTTGCCTCAAGAACAACTACTGTCAATCAAATTGTTAATTAATTATTAGTAATTGTTAAAAACCTACTTTTGCGAACTAGTCCTAGGTTTTTCACTCAATCTCGATCAAACCACTGCAGCACAATTCTTTTCCCAGAATATACATTTATACATGGTCATTTGTCCATGATTTCGAAACGGTTTGTTCGATTCAGTCCTGAGCGAAATGTCTGTAAACCCCTCCCTTCCATAAGCCTACTCTGCTCTGATTGGTCAGCTGGCCAAGCCTGTTGTGATTGGCACAAAGAGGAGCGCTTGAGCAAGTTAGCGAGCGCTACCTTCTGTGTTGCCAAGTCCGCAGTTGTTTTTGATGTCGCGGGTTGTAGCGACCCCAATAACGGCATATTTAGGCACTGGAATGCGAATTTACCAGGGAAACCCCGACTGAAAGCGTGTATTTTACACCCCAGAACGCGATTTTTAAAGGGGGACCACCCTCGAGGTCGATTGGAACGAAACACGGTGGGAATGTTTGACTCATGGCCCTAAAGGTCTGTAAGAATTTTGAAAGAAATCGGCCACTGGGGGGCGAAATTGCGTTTTTTCAGTGCGTAAACGATTGTATATTGCACGATTTTTCACACATACATTCAATGTTCATATCATTTGATAGATCTCCTCATCCTGAGCAACTTTGCCTCAAGAACAACTACTGTCAATCAAATTGTTAATTAATTATTAGTAATTGTTAAAAACCTACTTTTGCGAACTAGTCCTAGGTTTTTCACTCAATCTCGATCAAACCACTGCAGCACAATTCTCTGGACTCTCTAGGTCAATAATTATGAAAAAAATGTTGAATTTTGTCCTTTGGGTAGCTATAACGGGGTCAATTTTAAAGGGCGTGGCCAAATATACCCAAAAGCCTATAAAACCTAAATGAAAACTCAAAACTTTACGAAACTTGGTGAAACCATGTGACGGATTACTCTTAACAAGCATGCACAGTTTCATTGAGATCAGACCATAGGTGGTGCTATAACAGTTAAAAAGGCCTCAAAAACACAATATTTCTATAGTAAATGACCTCAAATTGCAATACAATTTTCATATATTCACATATAAACTAGATCTTAATATCATATTAGATCTCCTCATTTTGAACAGCTTTGCCTCTAGGATCAGTACGGTCAATCAAACTGTTCTTTAAAGTATCCTAATATTGTGTTGGAGTCCCCTACAACAGGTTTAAATGCATCTAAGGTCAGAAAACACTGTACCACCCTAGCATGCACCTTTACTTAAAACAATAATATAGTGCTCCAATCAGTTCTTAAAATAATGACAAAAACATTTTGTTTAACACTTATGCAAGCGAATCGTGCCCACAGCTAAAGTTTAGCTGACTAACTGTCTCTCTACCGGGTCTTTTACTCTCGGCATTAACCCTATAACTACATAAACAGCACTTTCACAATGATTATAAAGTCTGTTTAATAATAATGTAGTGTAGCGCACAAAGTAATTAGAACAACGACAGCCTACATTAATCGACACATTCTTAGGAAATAGTGGGTTCACAGCGAATTATCTGAACTATTTCAGTAAAACGGTAATATTGTGCTTTACCTGGAACCCTAAAAAAACCCCTGATATTTTGAGCACTCAATTGAAAATGTACACATAACGTATCAATCCAGTGACGTAGATCGGTAACAGGCAGAAGATTCGAAAATATAACGACTCGTTAAGGCGATTCTGAGTCGACTCTTTCTTTTGAGAGACAATGTCTTTATTTATCATGCACTTTTTTTGATTAACAACTTTGCCGACTGTTTACATTGAAGGATAGCTACCTTACAAACTGCAAAAGAGATTTTGCAGAAAACCCATATGGCCTGCTCTTGAAGTATTTGAGATTATAAAAATAAAAAAGTACTATTGTGAACTAACTCAAAATCAATAAAATCAGTGCAGTACTATTCTCTAGACTCTCTAGGCCAATAATTATCAAAAAAAATTGAACATTTGCATTTGGACAGCTATAACATTGTCATTTTATAATATGTTCTTTACATCGTGCATACCCAAAGGCCTATAAATCCTAAAAGAAAGCCCACAACTTCTCCATACTGTGTAAAATGATGCATAATTTCATTCTAAACAAGCATACAAAATTTGAGAGATTGGGAAAAAATAACACTATAATAGTCATAAAGGTTAAAAACACAGTGTTGTATGAGAAATTGCATGAAATTGCAATTATAACCACTGGATAGCAGCAGAAGACCACTAATGGGCTCATTCATCTCACTAAAACAGTACTGTTCTTAGGTTGGCTTATGGATTCATGCTTCGACATTATAAAATCACTGTTCTAACATTTAAAATCACATTTAGTCAAAGTTTAACATTTTAGACATATCAGTTTTTACAATTATGCCAGATTATGATTACAGTGAAACCTGAAAATGACATATAAACTCTTAAAAAGAAGACTTTCAAAAAGTATTGTCACCTATCATTTATTTCAAATATCTATATCTGCAACAAAATGTGTGTGCATGCATGTCTGTGTATGTGTGCGTGTAAGCATGCTTTTTGAGTATTAATATAATAGTTTAACCATTTCATTTCTGTGTGTGTGTGTGTCTGTGAGCCTATTCTCTATTTTGGATGTGTGTTACTGTCAGCCATACTTCCAGGTTGGCCTAGACCCTAAAAGCATACCACCTTAAAGGCCTTTAAGTGCTTGAAGCCTGGTAATCGCTGCTTGCAGCTATATTTAGTTAATTTGCATAGCAAATTTAAAAACAACGAGTTGGCTTTCCATTAAAACGACATTCCATCAGCCTAAATAACAAAAATCCAAAAAATTATAAAACACCCAATAAATATACAATTCAAATACAATCTACTGTAAGTCTTCCGTCATGGTCACCTCATTAATTGGTTATCTTGTTCTCTTTCTAAGGCTGGCAGACTGCCAACTAGCCTATGTCAAAGCATTTTAATTCAATCATAAAGTGATTATTCAGTGCGTTTGCCTCGTTATTTTTATCCAAAGCACATACTGAAGGCCATGTGACCCAAAAAAGCAACTTGGTGTCAGAGCAGATTCAAGTTCAGCTGAAGTGATACATACCACAAGAGGCCCAAAATCATGGTTTCATTCAGGCCATTCAAAAAACTTACCTTAAGTCTAATAAAACTATACAAAATTTCCCCCAAACTCCAAAATATGCCAAAAATATATAACTGATGTTATTTCTATTAATCACAACAGATGTGACAAATGCATACTGTGCCCCATACTAATGTTTTCCTGCATTTGAGTAACACATATACAACCCTGCTTTCTAAGTTTGGATTTGGAATCTGTTACAGCTTAGTGATTTATAGATGCCACAGGATGAGTGTTTCAGAAAGCACAGCCACGGAATAAGTTGAAAGAAGGGGCATGGAGATGCTCTCCCAATATATCACCTAAGCTCCCTTCAGGATTTGAAGGCTAATCTAGGACAAACACTGGAGAGTTGGACATGCAGTTTCTGCACAGACCTGGTTTGGTTATTTTCACATACTATAGTTGCATAATGTACGCTACTTAAAAAACAAAAACATATTAATAATGCTTAATAATATAGGATTTAATAAAGTATATGTTTGAAAAGCACAAATGTTGTAAACCAGATGATTTCATGGTTTGCTTGTTCTGCGTGAAGTGGGTTACGTTATGCTCTCCAATACTTGTGGCCTTGGATATGTGTTATTGTGCATTTTAATACAAATATCATCCATTTTACCAGTAGTGTTTTAAACCATTTGATAGCATCTGATAGAATTTTCTAACACCTTGCTTAAGTTTATTCTGTCTTATTTCACATGCAGCGAGGAATTACGGGAGGCGACGAGGTAAAGATCTCAGAAGTGTCTGTCGGTTCATGTCATTTCAAGTTACAACATGCCTTTGTGTTAAATTGTGTTGGTTGGTTGCCAGGCAAGGTTTTTGTACTCTGTTGTGTTTAGAAACTTTGCACCCTCATTGTATTCAAATGAAGATGGATGTTAATTGCTACTCTACAAAATCTATAGCCGCTTTTCATTGCATATAAATGCTTGTTAGGTGACTTCAGCATCAGTGCCACTAAATGGCCTTTGGGGCTATTGTGTGACAGGTCACTCATCGTTGTTTCCCATGGATGATGAGCGGACTTATGGAGAGGATGACAGGTCTGATCAGAGTCTGGGAGGACTGGGCTCACCACACAGTTTCCCTCACCAAAACGGCGAACGCATTGAGCGCTATTCTCGCAAGGTCTTTGTCGAATAGTCATATTAAAAACACAGTGTTGTATGAGAAATTGCATGAAATTGCAATTATAACCACTAGATAGCAGCAGAAGACCACTAATGGGCTCATTCATCTCACGAAAACAGTACTGTTCTTAGGTTGGCTTATGGATTCATGCTTCGACATTATAAAATCACTCTTCTAACATTTAAAATCACCTTTAGTCAAAGTTTAACATTTTAGACATATCAGTTTTTACAATTATGCCAGATTATGATTACAGTGAAACCTGAAAATGACATATAAACTCTTAAAAAGAAGACTTTCAAAAAGTATTGTCACCTATCATTTATTTCAAATATCTATATCTGCAACAAAATGTGTGTGCATGCATGTCTGTGTATGTGTGCGTGTAAGCATGCTTTTTGAGTATTAATATAATAGTTTAACCATTTCATTTCTGTGTGTGTCTGTGAGCCTATTCTCTATTTTGGATGTGTGTTACTGTCAGCCATACTTCCAGGTTGGCCTAGACCCTAAAAGCATACCACCTTAAAGGCCTTTAAGTGCTTGAAGCCTGGTAATCGCTGCTTGCAGCTATATTTAGTTAATTTGCATAGCAAATTTAAAAACAACGAGTTGGCTTTCCATTAAAACGACATTCCATCAGCCTAAATAACAAAAATCCAAAAAATTATAAAACACCCAATAAATATACAATTCAAATACAATCTACTGTAAGTCTTCCGTCATGGTCACCTCATTAATTGGTTATCTTGTTCTCTTTCTAAGGCTGGCAGACTGCCAACTAGCCTATGTCAAAGCATTTTAATTCAATCATAAAGTGATTATTCAGTGCGTTTGCCTCGTTATTTTTATCCAAAGCACATACTGAAGGCCATGTGACCCAAAAAAGCAACTTGGTGTCAGAGCAGATTCAAGTTCAGCTGAAGTGATACATACCACAAGAGGCCCAAAATCATGGTTTCATTCAGGCCATTCAAAAAACTTACCTTAAGTCTAATAAAACTATACAAAATTTCCCCCAAACTCCAAAATATGCCAAAAATATATAACTGATGTTATTTCTATTAATCACAACAGATGTGACAAATGCATACTGTGCCCCATACTAATGTTTTCCTGCATTTGAGTAACACATATACAACCCTGCTTTCTAAGTTTGGATTTGGAATCTGTTACAGCTTAGTGATTTATAGATGCCACAGGATGAGTGTTTCAGAAAGCACAGCCACGGAATAAGTTGAAAGAAGGGGCATGGAGATGCTCTCCCAATATATCACCTAAGCTCCCTTCAGGATTTGAAGGCTAATCTAGGACAAACACTGGAGAGTTGGACATGCAGTTTCTGCACAGACCTGGTTTGGTTATTTTCACATACTATAGTTGCATAATGTACGCTACTTAAAAAACAAAAACATATTAATAATGCTTAATAATATAGGATTTAATAAAGTATATGTTTGAAAAGCACAAATGTTGTAAACCAGATGATTTCATGGTTTGCTTGTTCTGCGTGAAGTGGGTTACGTTATGCTCTCCAATACTTGTGGCCTTGGATATGTGTTATTGTGCATTTTAATACAAATATCATCCATTTTACCAGTAGTGTTTTAAACCATTTGATAGCATCTGATAGAATTTTCTAACACCTTGCTTAAGTTTATTCTGTCTTATTTCACATGCAGCGAGGAATTACGGGAGGCGACGAGGTAAAGATCTCAGAAGTGTCTGTCGGTTCATGTCATTTCAAGTTACAACATGCCTTTGTGTTAAATTGTGTTGGTTGGTTGCCAGGCAAGGTTTTTGTACTCTGTTGTGTTTAGAAACTTTGCACCCTCATTGTATTCAAATGAAGATGGATGTTAATTGCTACTCTACAAAATCTATAGCCGCTTTTCATTGCATATAAATGCTTGTTAGGTGACTTCAGCATCAGTGCCACTAAATGGCCTTTGGGGCTATTGTGTGACAGGTCACTCATCGTTGTTTCCCATGGATGATGAGCGGACTTATGGAGAGGATGACAGGTCTGATCAGAGTCTGGGAGGACTGGGCTCACCACACAGTTTCCCTCACCAAAATGGCGAACGCATTGAGCGCTATTCTCGCAAGGTCTTTGTTGGTGGTCTACCTCCGGACATAGATGAAGGTACTAAAGCATAAACAAGTGTTTCTTTCCAGGTTTTTAAAAAATGTGCATCAACCACAATAAACACGTTGTATGTATTTTAAAAAAAAAAAATTCAGACGAGATCACTGCCAGTTTCCGACGCTTTGGACATTTGTTTGTGGACTGGCCTCACAAAGCAGAAAGCAAATCATATTTTCCACCAAAAGGTGAGTTTGAAAGTCATTTGCACGGATGTTTATTAAGAAATGAGTCATGCAGATATCAGCTTCTCTCATTTCAGCGGATGGAATTTTGCATTCCTACGTAGGTGCGTATACGGCACGCCCATTGTTTAAAGCTGAGCTCCAGATGAATATCATCAGTGGGGCCTGAGCAAAGGCTACAGGTCAAGGTTATTGAAAGTGACTGCTGGTTGCTTCTTGCATCCATACCTTCAATGCACCCGTTGTCCTGCAGGTTATGCGTTCCTTCTGTTTCAAGACGAGAGCTCGGTCCAGGCACTGATAGACGCTTGTATGGAAGAGGATGGGAAGCTCTATCTCTGTGTCTCTAGTCCTACAATCAAAGACAAGCCAGTAAGATATTAAAAGGCTGTATGTCTGCTGTTCCTGTGACTTTGCAAGTTGTGAGAAAGCAGTAGAGCATTTTAAAGTTAAATATAAACCTGAAAGTTGAAACACTGTTTCTACTAAATTCCACCTGTGTTTGCTGTATGGCACATGACAGCTAGTGATTCTCTTATGTTCACTGTGTGTCTTCAGGTCCAGATACGACCCTGGAATTTGAACGACAGTGACTTTGTGATGGATGGCTCTCAGCCCCTTGACCCCAGAAAAACAATCTTTGTTGGGGGAGTTCCACGACCTCTACGAGCTGGTTTGTTTGGCTTTCAGATATTACCATGATCAAACATTTTTTTTAAATTTTGTTGCCACAGTAAGCACGGTGAGTTTTTTTTGGACATTATTTCCAGTGTGTAGTAACAATCATCCAGTACATTTTCTCTGAATAAATGCTTGTTGTGGTATGATTGTTGCATGATGCAATTAATGTTTTGAGTGTTTTAGAAAAAAAAAAAGTTTTTTTTTTTTTTTTTTAATTGACGTGTTTAGAGCTTACAGCTCATGAATGCCAAAAATCCAGTATCTCAAAATGTTAGAATATTTCCTAAGATTAATAAAAAATAAAAAAAAGGATTTGCAAAACAGAAAAGTTTAAAGTATGTTCATTTATGCACTCATGCTCGCTTTGTGCAGCTGCAACACGGAGAGATCGATAAACGGGTGAGAGTGGTGGTTGGATCTTTGTCCAGCAAAGCACAGGAAAAAAAATAGACTTTACTATATCAGTTTGCATAAACTACACAGCTCAAAGTTCTTTAGCTTTCCATATATGCAATATTAGCACCACCTACTGCAGAGCCAGTAGTAATTTTATATGGCCCTCTGACTGAATCTCTGCACTGCCTGATTGTTCTTGTAAACTGTCTAGTTTTTCCGCAATTTAAGCGTTGAAACTTTTTTTTTTTTTAAATAGCCAGTTCCTTTTTGAAGGAGTTTGTCTGGACCGTAAACTTGGACTATTAGACTATTTTCTATATTCACAGTTTGTGTTTTCACATGGTGTGTGTGTGGCATTTTTTGTCTTTTTAATACCTTTTTTTTTAAGGATTAGTTCACCCAAAAATTAAAATTCTGTCATTAATTACTCACCCTCATGTCGTTCCAAACCCATAAGACCTCCGTTCATCTTCGGAACACAAATTAAGAAATTTTAGATTTCTGAGAGCTTGCACGCGCTTTATCCTGAACGTAAACAACGCAGATTACGTTCTTGGGTACTCTCCAAAATGGCGGAAAACTGAGGGACAAGAATTACTGAATAAATTGTTATTATTGTTTTCTTTGTGCACAAAAAGTATTCTCGTAGCTTCGTAAAATTACGGTTGAACCCCTGATGTCACATGGACCGTTTTACCGATCTCCTTGCTACGTTTCTGTGCGTTGATCGTGTTAATTACATTGCTGTCTATGGGAGGGTCAGAGAGCTCTCAGAATTCATCAAAAATATCTTAATTTGTGTTCCGAAGATGAATAAAGGTCTTCAGGGTTTGGAACAACATGAGGGTGAGTAATTAATGACAGAATTTTCATTTTCCGGGTGAACTATCCCTTTAAGACCTGCACAAGTAAAATTAATATCATATGAGCGATGGGCTATGTCTATGGTAACATTAAACCATAAAATGACTGTAAAAACATGTTCAGATACAGGTTACAGGTAACAAAGTTTTATAAAATGTTCACTTTTCTATTAAAAAAACATTTCAACCTATAAAACATTAAGAAACTGGATGAGTCCGAAGTATCAGTTATTATATTAATTTAAAACCTAAATAAATATATCTTGCGTCCTAATTGTTTAGACTTTCAAAAGGCATATTAAGTTCTTCTTGAACCACTGGTTCACATTTCCAACTGCATGTTTGCTTTTAAAAAAAATATTGGTTGAAAAAAAACAGCAGACGGGCTTATTAAAAAATGCAAATTGATTCTCTGCCAGTAGGGGGTAGAAAAATAGCAGTTTACTGGTAACCGCTGTACACAAAGCAGCACTGCACTAATATACGCGACTTTAACAGGCAATATATGTAGGCAAGATGAAATGAAAATGTCCTGCAGTTTGATTTTTAAACGTGCAGTGCTCGTGTTTATTCAACAAAATGCTAGCCTAAGACTTTTTATGGCCTTTATAAATTTAAGACTTTAAGGTCCTGCTGGAACCCTGGTTTCATGTTAACTGATATTGAATGATTACTCTAGGGGTAAAAAAGCCCACCTAAAGTTTTCATATGGATAGTTTTTTTTTTTATATGGACAAGAAAGTAGAGCTCTGATCTACTGTATATTACAATAAAGTCAGATTCAATTGTTTAAATTGTTTCTGGCCCTTGTTCTTCATGGTCAGCCTGTCTTAACAACATGTGTTAAGCTAAAAGTGTCTACTTTTCCCAGGTGGAAGTGAAGCCATATGTACTGGATGACCAGCTGTGTGATGAGTGTCAGGGCACGCGTTGTGGGGGCAAGTTCGCTCCATTCTTCTGTGCTAATGTCACTTGTCTTCAGTACTACTGTGAATACTGCTGGGCAGCCATTCACTCGCGTGCCGGACGGGAGTTTCACAAGCCTCTAGTGAAGGAGGGAGGAGACCGGCCTCGCCACATCTCCTTCCGCTGGAACTGATCGGGAGGTCAAGGCTGTGCTATTCATTCATATACATGCACTTTTCATTTTGCTAAGTCCTTTTTATTTGGAGTTCTTTTTTAAGTCTGAAATTGTATTTATTCTTAAGTTTTTAATTTTTTTTTTGCAGAAGAGAATGCTAAAAGAAAATGGTGTAATCCTGATTTTTGTTGAAAAGCTACATTGGTGTGCATGAAGACTTGAATGCATTAGATTTAAAAAAATATAGATGTTTAGCCTGACTTGACTCTGAATTACTGTTCTATCTTTATTCTCTCGGAGCCTCATCTTTTGTTTGTAATGGGTCACATTTTCACTTTAAACTGTTGAAGGCTACACACAAAGAGGCTGGAAACGTAAGGGTTCGAGCCTCGTTCATATGACTTTAATGTTGAGGTTTGACTAATCTTAAATGGCTGCATGGCAAATGTGGATTCACAGTTACTCCTTCAACAAAATGCACAGTAACGACGAACGAGACCACAAGCTATTGTATGAGTGACTTAAAATGACATTTTAAGGGGTTCATTCTGGAATGGATTATATGGACTGGTTCTAACATTTAAGGCAAATCTTTGTGATTAAGTGGAAAAAAGATTTATAATATTAAAATCCTTTAGAGGTTCTCATTCTAACAATGCTCAGACACTGTAAGATTACTATTAAACTGCTTCCAAGTTACCTATAACTTAATCAAGCGTAAGATCTGAGGCAAGGCTAACGGACAACAACTGAGAACAGCAGTGATGCAGGATCCAGTTTTTAGGTCAGGCAAACCAAAGATGAGCCTTAGAGATGTCCTACTGTCTGTGATACAATGAAGATTATATATATATATATGATAAAAAGCTTAAATTTAATTGGTTTGATGGGTTAAAAAAAGAATGAAATCTATTAACTTAAGTATTTATGATTCTTGTAATGGTTATGGCAGTAACTTTGGCTCATTTGTCAGGGATTTTGTGCTAAAAGGTAACTCAATGTTGTAGTATTTGCTAATGAGAAATTACCATGTGTTGCATTGATAGTGTTTTACTGCATGGGTTTTGCCATGGGTTCATTGGTGTTCTAACAGAGCATTGCAGTAGCGGAGCACATTTCAAAGAATTTGAAAAACAAATATTATTTTTTACATGGTCTGCTGATTTTTGTACTGTGTTTTATAGCCAATTATTTTGTCATGGACGTAAAACCATTATGCACTACTTTTCTAAATATTGTTTTTCAAGTCACTTTTTTCCACAAATGGAAAGTCCTTTTGTGATAACTTTTCTTTTTTTCACTTGTTGAATATCGATTTTGTACCTTTTGTTACTGAGAGATCTGGTTATAACGCAAGCATACCTTAAGGAAAAGAAAAAAAGCTAATATAATTTTGTTTAGGTTATGTATTTACGTGCTGAAATCCCTAGATTGTCACATATATATATATTTAGGTGACCGTATTGTTGAAACTAATATCTAATATTTGCAAAATGCAAACTGTGCTGTCTTAAATGGAGAAAGTAAATATTGAATCTAGCATGACACAAATTCCTTAAAATGTGTGGTACATGTAGAAATATATACCTATCCAGTACCCACCCACTATCAGTTACGAGAATGATGATACCTCCCTCATTATTGGCTGTAGAAAATAAAATAATTAACACTGTAAATTAGAGTAATGTTAGGATGCACCTTGTATCACAATGATGAATGTTCCATATTGAAATATCAATGTTTACTGTTATGTATAATTCTGAGAGGTAACAAGATTCATTTATTCATTAGGTACGCATGAGCTAAATGAATAAGTTAGGGTTTAGTTATTTTCAATTGCTTTAATAGTACTTTTATTTGAACCCTTTCCCCACACTTGCAGTTATATGTTCCTTGCCCATGCACAAAGTGTGCATACCCCACTTTACTGTGTTTACTAGATGACAAAAAGAAGCATAGGAGAGGGTGATTAGTCGCATATTGATTCAGGGTTTACTTGAATACGCTTTCAAAATATTGACAGTGAGATCTGTGCAATACTTTTTCCCAGAGACCTTTACAGTGTACTTCTAATATAACCATTACTTTCAACCTGGCTCACCTCACAAACTCTCCTTCAGCCATTATAACCTTTAACATTCTCTGATTTATGTATATAAAAAAATACCACTGAAATGATAGGTGTTTTCACTTTTATGTATTCACATATTTTCCTACTTGAGTTCATGCTACTGTGATTACAATGTAAATATTAAGTGAATAATGTTCTAACAATTTACTGATATATTTTTAATTGGAATGTGATGATTGTCATTTCGATTATAGTTTTTGATCAGTACACTTATTAGATTTTCTAGTTTTAATAATCGCTATATTGTGCTTCATGTCTACAGAAGGATATCAGTATCAAAAAATATCAGAAAATTCTCTATGTGACTGCTTATTTAAATTTACATAGTTTATAACTGTGTATGGGAAGGTGTATTTGTCAATAGATTTTTATAAGAGGAATACTTTTTTTGCTATGTCATTTCTAAGTTTTAATTTTTATATTTTAAATCCATATGGAGTTATGTAAAGAGAAATATCATTTTATAGTTGGGTTAGTCATACTTGTGCTTTGGTAGTTGAGTCTTGATTAGCCTATTTGCAGTTAAATATTTATAACAGAATGCTTAAAGTATTTGTAATGTGAAATGTTGAATGAATAAACTTGATTGCAGGAAATGCCGTGGGTTTCGTCTTTAACCGTGTATATGAATCAAAGTTATCAATACAATCTTTGAAAGGAAATGTGTTTAATTTCAGTCAACCTATATAAAATCAAAACGCAAGGCATCATCTTTTGGTGGAGCACAGTAGGAATTGCAGTAAGCTTCTGGCATGCTGTCTGAGAATGGGGTCAAATCTATTTTTAGCTTGTCTGATAAACAGCACATGCTGCCTAAAAGACAGTGTTGTGATGACAAGGAGGACATCCGGGTGAGACCTTGATTATTCTGGAATTACCCAGATTAATTACTGTTGATTGATTGATTACTGCAAGGTTGAGCTGCTAGCAGGCCTCAGAATATATGCACAGAAGTGCATATTAACCCATATATGCAATTGCATTTCTTGAAGCCCATCATGCTGCAATGTTTATTATCTGTGAATCATCTACATGCGCTGAATCATTTGTTTAGGTCTTGATGTAGACACCGATTTAGAGGCCGCCTACATGATTACTGCAGAGGCACACAACAGCACTCTGGCGGTAATGGTGTGTATATCTTTAAAAAAAAAAAAATGTGTAGTATAATAAAAATGAAACAGTATTTCATTCATTCATATCCCAGAGAAAAATCTGACATTTGAAGGAATTTCAGTGTGCAAATGAGTATGAATATACTTTATATGTTTGTTTATTTTTGTTAGAATTGCATTACTTTTCACTGAGCCACACTGTATGTGAAGAAACTTACAATGTAACTGCTGGGAGCCTGGGACAGTTCATCTGCAGCATGCTGAAGTATCTCAAGGGCAACAGTGATGAGTGTAAAGGAAATCTGAAATGAAAAGAGCATTTTGTCATCATTTATTCATCTGCATGTCTTCAAACCTCTTCCATAGGTGCCACTTCTAAAAGCTAGAGAATACGATTTTGAATGAATAATGACTTTGATCATGCTCTCCATAAATCTTTGGTGCACAGAACACAAAAGAAGCAGAATGACAACTTCTGGAAACAATTCACTTACAATGAAAAATAAAAATAAAAAATATTTTTTAAGAGTTTTGTGTTCCAAAAATTACGGGTTTGAAACACGAAACATGAGAATTAAAAAAAAAATAATAATGAATTGCATCATTTATTTATTTGTTTATTTACTCATTAATTAATTCGTGAACTATTCCTTTAAGAGCCTGCCTTTGCACATGGCTCCTCCTCCTTTTGTGTGTGCCTCCATTTTAAACCTGACGTAACCGTTGCTGAGCTCATCCTCTTCCGGTGATAATAGTTACATTTACAAAGTTTAACTTTAGTTAAGTTTCACAATACTGAAACAAAACTTTTTTTTTATAGCCTAAGCGAGCTCTTAAAGTGTGGTGCCGCTGTTAATTATGGCATCTTTCCGTAAATTACTCTACGTACCGCGCTTCGACACTCAGTCGCCTCAAACTGACAAGGAATCGGGATATAACGGAGAAAACAACAAACACCATAAACTGAACGGGTTAACTCAGGCGACTCCCTTACTTTTCCACGACGTTACAAGTCCCGAAATAACACAATGTTTGTCAAAAAAGGTGAAAACAAACCATCTTTTGAGGTTGTACGCCAATATGAGATCAACGGTTAATCTGAGGGCATCTAAAGGCGGGAAATCACGGCGCGCCAAACGCGTCACTTACGGAGGTGTAGGAGAACAGCCACACAGTAAGTGATATAAAACGCACTTATTTTTTTAATATATAACACTCTGTTGAGTGAAGTAGCTGCATAATTGCTCTGTGCTTTGTCCTTTTTTTATAGGGGCCTCATCTGATACTTTTGGATTCCCACCAAGAGATGTTAAAGCAGATGAAATGGTGAGTCCGGTACAGTTTAGCATGTTATGGCATTTCATTTTCATTATCATGACCTTTCTTATTTTTCATGGCTATGTCAGTACCGATCCCGAACAAAACAGGATGTACTGAGGACAATCAAGAGAATGGTGGAGGAGAACAGGGTCATCAGAGAGCGGTTACTCACCTTGAGGCAGCAGAGCCGAAGCAAATGAGGTTTGCCCTGTTAAAAGGGATAGTTCAACCCAAAATAGAAAGTTCTGTCATCATTTGTTCACCCCTTTATGATATGCCATGGGTGTCCAATCCTGCTTCTGGAGGGCCAGTATCCTGCAGAATTTAGCATCAACCAGCTCCAACACATTTGCCTGGAAGTTTCTAGTGAGTCTGAAGCCCTTGATTACTTTGGCTCAGGTGTATTTAATTAAAGTTGAAGGTAAAATCTGCAGGAATCTGTTTGGACACCTCTGTTTTACACCAATATTATTAGATTTTTTTCATGCACAAAAGAAGAATTTTTGAAGAATCTTCATATGAACTGTGTTCATTAAAAAAAAAAGAACAAAAATACACTTTAAAATATCCATAAAAGTAATCTATATGACTCTGTGCACATGCTGTGACTAGTCTACGAGTCTTTTTTTAGCCGTGTTATTATAGGAACAGACTGAAATTTACAGTATGTATGAGAAAGAGCTGTGTGAAGAACATTACAGGGAGGATAAATAAGGACATACATTTTTACTGTTATAGGTAAACGTGTCATAATAATGCAAAATCGTTCAATTAAACAGATTTCATTTTGTTGCCTAATTCTTTTTAATTTAATTTAATTTTAATTTATGCATTTAGCAGACGCTTTTATCCAAAGCGACTTACAGTGCATTCAGGCTATACATTTATTACCAGTATGTGTGTTCCCTGAGAATTGAACCCACAACCTTTTGCGCTGCTAACGCAATGCTCTACCACTGAGCCACAGGAACACTTACTAATTTTTATTTTATTTAACTTATTAAATTTTAATCTTAATATCTTAATATTAATTCTTTTTAATTTCAGTTTCAGGTGGTACCACATACAGCAAATTTTCAAGAGGAAAGGAATGTTCACATGCCACAATGCTGTTTATTATATTGCCTCCATATATGTTGTTATTAGAATCTAAAATCTAAATTCTTAGGGCTTTAAAAAATAACAAATTTACGGAGGGCATGAGCATGACTTACAGATGACCACTAGATGGTGATATTTCCAAAATTAAGAGCAACTACATAAAGTGTAGAAGGGCTCTTACGTACACACTCTCCATTTAAATTATACGGTATGTACTAGTTGCTGTTTTTGTTATTACTTTTTAATTTATTTATAAGGAGAACGACCTTCTAATGTGTTCATTCATTAACTTTATAGGACTTCTTTCATCACTAAAACGGTTTCTCTTCCCATTGTTTTGTTCCATTGTCAGCTGTAGAGTTGCTATTTAAGCTTTCTAGTGACAGATTGTATTTTGTTATTGCATGTCAGGTTGTTAGTAACAAAAAAAAGAAACATTGAATGGCCATCACTGATTACATTTATTTATTTATTTATTTAACTGATTCTAGAGTTTTAAAAAAACAACAACAACAACAACAAAAGGTATTAGAGAAAGGTTTGTTATTGTATGTCAAGTTGTTTGTGACAAAAATGTTTATTAAAACATTGAATGACCATCACTGATTACATTTATCTTATTTCTATTCTATTCTAATCCATTCTATTTTAACTCATACTAGATGTTTCAAAAAGCAACAAAAGGAGACTTACTTAGAATTCACTGAAGACAGTTGTCAGTAAATGTTTTGCCCACAACAAAATTGCATTACATTCCCAGTGTCAAAGGAGCTCAACATCTTGCTTATGCAGGTTGTGGTTTTGTGGCAGAAATCATCAAATAGAAAAGCTATTGTTGAGAACATGACCTCAGACATGTAAAATGAGATAGATTAATCATGTTGTCAAGTCATGTCTGTATAATGAAGCAATAAACCCAAGGCTTGATTACAGACCATAGTTTAGGCCCCTCTCCTGGGCGCCTGTGATGATTATGTGTTTTCCTCAAGCATCAGCTAAATGGCAGTGGGTAGATCTCTAAGATTAAATGCAGGTTAAATGCAACTACTGTAAATGTTTGTTGTAGGTTAGGGTAAAATATAGAACTCGAGTAAGAAAAGGAATAGTTGCTTGGGGATGTTTAGATCTGACAGTAAACATGTATTTCGCAATTGATTATATAGCCCTTACAACGAGTATGGTTCTTGTAATTAAGTATCGCACAATGAATCAGCAGTAAATTGATAGGAGCATGTAAAACTGAACTGAACTGGCATAAACTGTTAAACAAACTTCTAAGAAAGAATGAGCTGCAGTTGCGCACGACTGCGTGACATTCAGGCCTTGCACATCTGATACGGATTCCAACACTGCATTAAGCTGTAATTATTTTCACCACCAGGCTCATTTAGGTTCATGTGTTGAAACACGCTAAACAAGTGGAGCCACACCTTCTCTTTAGCACTGTTATGAGTCCTTAGCCACAAGCAGGGGTTGCCTAATGTAATT